AAACATCCAATATCCTTCCGGAAAATCAATTAAGACGGCACGATCTATATATTTACGAGCAATGCATATAAAAGTTGATAGGCAAACCGGGAGCCGAATGCGTATTTGAAAATAATGATACCTTTGTCCACATTAATTTTATAGGCATAAGCAAAATGCTTTGCCAAACTTTGACCCAGCCTCTTCAACCAATATTGTACAGTGGGGTCATCATTGCGAATTCTGCTGAAATAATGAATGTCCCCTGCCTCGTCAACGACAGGGCCAATCTGCTCCGGAATATCATTGATTCCGTTACAATCAGAATGTGTTATCTTTATACCGGTTGGGGTTACTTCCGCAAACACCATTTGATGGAAAATGCTTTTGGTAGAGGAAACGTGCGTGTGAAACTTTTCGAAAAGAATCGATATGAAATATTCGAATGTTCGATGTCAATTCTAACTTGATGTGAGGAAAAAAAAACGTGCGTATTTTTGTCAAAAGATAAAATTGCGAACGAAAGAGACTTGATGCAAAACTTGACTTTTGTAAATGATTCTCAAGATTTTCCACACGACCTTGGGATTAAAGTTTGAGTAGCATACCTACGTATCTTGAAACAATCAATACAATGGTGTCATATCACAATACGTACAAAAGATTGACATTACTGTATTGTACTATATATTAATTTACGTTAACCTCGTGTCCATATGCGTATATGTACATATTCGGAAATATTATTGACATTCCAGACAATTCATGTATTTTGTTAATTGACATATACAGTACTTTACTGAATCTGTTCCATAGTAAAAATAATATTGCGAAATTCATTTTGCAAGATTCGATTCATATTTTATTTGGATTTCAAAAAAAGTTATATTTTAAAATGCAAATGGTTAACATATTTTTTTTATTCGTTGATCTATTATTTTATACTATAAAAAATTTATTGATTTAATATAATATAGCTCTTAAATAAAAATAAATAAATAAAATATATTATATAAATTGTTGTAATTTGTTTATTCGATCAATTTAAAAATTATTTTTTTATTTTTTTTCCTTTTATTATAATTAAAATATTGATAATTGTTTAACTATCAAATATATTATGGAACAAAAAAAAATCGCATAAATTATATTTTGATTTTTACTAATAATTTAATAATTAATTAATTAATTAATTAAAATAAAAAATATATATGCATATATTTAAATATATAAAGAATAGAAATATATAAAAAATTTTTTTTTAAATATATAAAAATATTATTATTAAATTATAATTAAAGGAGATGGCAAATTAAAATTAAAAAAAAAATTTTTTTATTTACAAAATAATAATAATCAATTATATAAATTATATAAATACTGTATATAAATTAATTAAATATTGATTAATAAAACTTTAAAATAATTTTTTCATAATTTTTACATTAATAAATTTTTTTTTTATAATTTTTAGCTTAATATTAAATTATTTACTTTTTGATAAAATTTAACAAAAATATTTTTAATTGTAAAAAAAATTTTTTTATTATATTATAAAAAAGATATTATTATTTATTAATATTAATATAATAATTTATAATTAAAATCTAAAATAAATAGTAGTGTCAAAAAAAATAACAATTTTTTTTTATTTTATAAAATTAATATTAATATTAATTAAAAATCAATTTATTGATATTTTTTTTTTTAAAATATTTTTTGATATTAATAAAATTATATATGATTTTGTTTAAATTTATTATTTTTAAATTTTATTTTTATCAAGTTGAAATATTAAAAGATCTATATACTTAAAATTTTATTAAATATTCTAAAAAAAAATTTTATATAAAAATTTTATAATTCTATAAAATTATAAATAAAAAATAATTAATTTTTTTGAATTTTTTTTTTTAAATTTTTATTATTATATAAAAAAAATTATAAAATACTATTATTTTTTTATTTTTAAAAATATTTTAAATAATAAATTTTATTATTATTTTTTTAATTTACTAACAGATATTAAATATAAGTCTTTATTTAAACTTTTGTTTATGGTCATTATATTAATAATCTTTATATAAATAAATTAATTATAGCCTATTGCAACAATATAATATAATATATATAAATTCTAAAAACTTATATGGGAAAAAAAAAAGGGTAAATAATAGTTAATTACTAGTTATATTATAAACCAATATGTGTATTCATTAAAAAAAAAGATATAAATTGTTTGATATAATTAAAAGAATTAGGTTTTAAATATTTTGGATTTAGAAATTAATTTGTTATTATAATATAACCTATAAATATTTTCTATATTAGAGATCTTATTTTCAATATAGTACAATTATCTTATATTAATCTTTTGAAAAAGATAAGTTAACTATAGTTTTTAATATAAATAGGAATTAAAAAAGTAAACAAGAAAATCAACTCCATAAAAGTTCTTTTTAAGTATATAAAAATAATAATAATTTCAGGTATTCAGAATAAAAACATTAGTTTAATATATACTTTTAACTAAAGATGGGTTTCTAAATTAAAGGTAAAGATATAATATAAATGTCCCTTACTATTAAAAAAGTTTTTTTTAAATATAAGATCAAAAAAAAACTATCTATAAAGATTTTTTATAATTTAAGCCACTTGATTCAAATGTTTTTTAAATTATATTTCTATTAAAATAATGAATAAATAATTATATACTTTCAAAAAAAATATAATTAATTTACAAAATTTTATATACTAAATAATTTAGAGATTTATCTTTACTTCTGATCAAATATTTTAGATAGAATCAGAACTTATCCAAGTAAAACCTTATGCATATAACCTGTTATATTAAAAAATTTATATCTTTTATAACCTATTATATCTTCTTATATATTCTTAGACTTTAATATAAAGAATAATAATTATTAAAAATACTCTTAACAGCTTTTGAATTATCTAATTTTAACTTTTAAACAAAGTAATTCCATTGTAGTCCTTTTTAAGTTAAGCTTTTTTAAGCAAAGGAAAAGATTTTTATTAGAGGGCTCATATCTTTTAACAAAAGTAACTTTAGCTTAAATAAAATATCTGCTTAATTAAGATAGAAATAAGAATGGATTCCTAAATTATTTAGTATATAAAATTTTACAAATCAATTATATCTCTTTTGAAGGAATATAATTATTTTAATAGGGATATAATTTAAAAAACATTTGAATCAAGTGATCTAAATTACAAAAAACCTTTATAGGTAGTTTTTTTTGATTTTATATTTTTAAAAAAACTTTTTTAATAGTGAAAGACATTTGAATTATATTCTTACCTTTAATTTAGGAACCCATCTTTAGATAGAAGTATTAATATTTCAATAGATTAATGAAATAGTTACAAAATAATAAGAAAAAGTTTAGAAAAAAATCTTTAAGGAAAAGAAAAAACAATTCATTGGCAAAAAAGGGAATTAAAGAAAAAAAAAAGAAAATTGTTTTCTTGCTTATAATTATTAAATATATATAAAGCCTTACTATAGAAAAGATTAGCTCTAGCAAATCTTTATTTTTCTTATTTTAGACTTCTATTATACACAAGTTTGATTAGCTTACACTTTCCTAAACAAGAGTATTTATTTAAATGGGTCAGATAGTTGCTTAAGCCTCATATAATATTAATATATTATAGACTCAAATTGCTACAAGTGCTATACAATGTGATACAAAGTTTTTAAACCAATATTTTTTAATATAATTTAATAAATAATTATTTAATTTAAATAAAACTTTAAATATATATTTTTATGATCTAATAAAAATATTAAATTTTATTAATAGTTAGTCAATAATTTTTTATTTTATTTTTTTTATTTAAAACAATATTTTTATAATAAAACTATTAATTAAGTTTTATATATAAATTTATATATAAATTATGATCAGAAACTATAATTTTTTAAATAAATATTTTAAAAGATAAATTAAAATCAAAAAAATAATTTTGAATTTATAAAAAAATTATAAAAAAATTATTTTATAATATCAATACTTGTTTAATAAATTATATATTAATTAACTTTAATAATAATTTATTTATTTATTTATTTTTTTTTATAGTAGAATGGCATTAGA